GACTTATCAAGAAATTTTTAAATATAAAAAAAAAGGGCTGGAAATTTTTGTCCGAGTTAGGCCAAATCCGACTTATCAAGTGTCCGACTTATCGAGTTTACCTATGTATTCTGTACTTTATGTAATGTTGTTTTATGTTTATCTTCAAAAAGAAATTGTTTTGTAAAATATCATAGTTAACTCATCATCATTATTATTATTCACAAAATAAAAAATTATGTACACGATTTTTTAACCAAATTGAGGTAAAAACCTGTATTCTAAATTTGATTTTTCCCCTTAAGTAAACATGTTTATTGGAGAGTATTGTTACTTTACAGTTTTGGACTAGTCATTGAGGGATAAATATTTAAATTTGGAGGTTTTTTATTTTTTCTCACATTAATAAAAACCCTTCCTTCCAAGAAAATAACATGAATGAAATATTTTATATATATAGAATTTTGACTTCTTCCATTTAAAAAAAATAAAAAAAAAGGACAAATTTTTAAATTTTTGGACCAAATCTGGACCAAATTTCTGTTCATTTAAGGGATAGTCTAAGCTAAGTCGTTTTTAGTTTTACATAAACTAAAAACGACTGCGCGCACAAGTTAGGACCCCTGTTGGATAAATTTTAATTGATGAATTATAACAATATAATTTGTTCTAGAAATTGGTTGTTATCTTTATTTATTTGTATTGCCATCAATTAAGCTTTGACAAAGAGATCAGATTCATAATCTTTCTGGGCGAGACACCTGGTCACATTCATTATTACATCTACATCTATAATTGTAATATTACTGACCTTTTCATTATCAATTTGTAATTAATTTACTAAAATCGTCTATATTTTTTCTTGGAATTTATTGCATGTTACACGGTATTCAATGTCTTCTTCTACTACTGTACAAATTGAATCCCAAGAAACTGACAATACCAATAACAATACAAATACAAATATCAATACAAACACAAATATCAATACAAATACACCAATACAATGTCAAGAATGACTCAGTTGATGATATACAAACACCCCAGGAATTAATAGCATATGTATAAAGAAAATTCGATTTCTCTATCCCCTGAGCTTTTTTTAAATAATAATTAAAAATATAGTTCAACAAATGGTAATAAAATTTTCTTAATCAATAATTCACCTTTTTCAAAATCTTGTTCTTATATTATATATGTTTTGATGTTATTTAACAATCAAATTTTGATGAATTATCAACAAATTTATTTTCCAAAAGGATTAATTTTTTTATTATTAATCACGCCATAATAACAATATTGACATCACTATCACTATTTAAATTGAATATTAGTGGATGATATGGGACCAAGAATAGATACACTTGAGAAATCGCTCAGAGACTTGACGCAACAAATGAATAAATAAATAAATAAATATATATTTCCTTTCCTCTAATTTGTAATAATAACAATAAATATAAATATAGTTTCATCAAATATTATATATATATACATTTGCACAAGTAAATTGTTTAAATATATAAATTAAAAATTAATAAATTATGTATGTTTGATTTCTAAAATGAAAATTATAATAAATAAATGTAATTATGATTCTAAAATGTTAATAATAATGTTATTAACCTCCTTCCCCAATTAATTTAAATTCGACACCGTTAACCTTTAATTTATCATTTTTTGATTTTTTACTTGTCAATATTTTATCATTATTAAAATTTGATTTTGCATCAATATTATTAATAATACTGTCATTAACATTACTACCATCATTGTTGCCATTATTAACAGCGACATTATTACCACTATTGTTGGGATCAATAACACTAGCATTTTTAATGTTTACAGTTCCATTAATAAAATCAAGATTATTAATATTAGGATAATCATTATCTTTTCCCTTTTCCATTGCCTCGATTTTTTTTGTTAATTTTCTAACACGTTTTTTAATCTTGATTTTAAATGCTGCTTCTAACAATAGATCTGGTGTCAAGAATTCATGTGGGATATGTAATAAAAACTCCAAGATTTCTGAACTTGTTGGACATTCTTTAAGAATATAATCTTGTGAACATTCCATTATTGCCAGTCCAATCCTATAGAATAAATTCACACCCTCAAAATAAAACATGTCCCAGACACGTAGTACAGATGCCCATGGCAATGTCATGGTAAATAGTGTCATAAACCATTGAGTAACGTATATGAGTGGAATTACATCATTTTCAGCCTATTTGAAAAAAATTTATTATTAATTTTATTTCGTTGCTATCAATAATGATAATAAATTTTCTATATATATATATTACCAAATGTTGTGCTAGTTTGGGATAATTTTCGATTAAAAGTTGTTCAAATATAATGGAATTTATTCTAATTTGAGTCAAATTAGGTGTAAAATATCCAACCATATATTTTTCTATGGTTGCTGCGAGTAACCAAAATGAATCTTCTACTGGCATTTGCATAAGCATCATGCCAACCAAACGTCCCATTCCTTGACAATATCCTATCGATGGATTATAATGTGCATATGCTTTAAGAACATCATGGAGATCTTCTTGTCTAAAAAAAAAAAATAAATGTTAATATAATAAACAACATTTGTTTATATACGAATACATAATAATAAATACCCAAAGCCAGTCTCTTTTCGAAATTGGATATGGTCAGGATAACATCTGTGTATATCTCTCTCAATTATATCATAAATAGGAATAACAGGGCATTTTCGTAATTCCTAAATAAATCCAAAATAAATAAATATTTATATATGTATCTTATCCAATATTTGTAAACCAAATAATTATTATAACCAATTAAATTTACATCATAATAACCAGGTCTCCTAAGTTTATCTGCACCTGCCATAAATTGCCATGCTTTTCCACGTAATGATTCGGGAATACCAAGACGAACCAATTTTTTGATCTGATCAATAATCATTTCAAAACAACAACGTTATTATTATAATTATTATAACCATGTGTTTATTTATTTAAATTATATTAAATAATAATTAATACCTTTCTTGAATCTCTTGCCATACTAGGATTCATGCTACTAATAATATCCAACCATTTTGCTTCACGTTGACGATATAATTGAATAGCACGTGTAGATTTTTCTTCAGTATTAGGAGTTTGTATACTAAACATTATATTATTAATATTAGACATTTATTTAATTTAATTATGCAAATAAATAAATAACAAACAAATAAACAAATCAATATACAAACATTCTCGGAACCCTATCTGCTCCAATTAGAACTTTCTCTTCTGATATATCATAAACAAATCCATATTCATCTATAGTAAGAATTTGTTCCTTTTTTGGTTTTACAACTCCAACTTGATTTTGTGAATTGGGAGATGATAATGGCGACGATGGAGGTAGAGGTTGTGATGGTGGTTCAGTTGTTACTAAAGATTCAATTGCTGATTTACCCATTACTATTGATGTTTCAATTTTGGATGATTTTAAAACAGGTTCTTTTGTTTCATCGTTTTTGAGATCTTTAGAAGTAATAGCGACTTTGGGATTTTCTTTAATGCTAAATTGTTCAGAGGTTGGTGATTTGGTTTCAGTATCGGATACCAAATCTATCTTAAAGGTTGGAACAGCAATATTTTTGTTTTGATCAGATTCTATAAATGAATCCTTGCGACTATATGATATCAAAGTTTCTCCATCCTCCTCCTCCTCATCATCATCATCATCTTCTTCTTCCTCTTCCTCTTCTTCATTTTCATTCAAATCAGTATTCTCAATAACAATTTGAGGAGTATTTAAAGTATTTGTTGTGTTATTATTCTCATTATTTTGTATCTCTGATGATGATAATTTAGTAGAAACAGCAGCAGTAGTAGCATGATTATTTCCATTTGTAATATTTTCAAGGGTATCATACTTGACAAGTCTAGGTGAAGATAGAGGTGAGGTGGAAGGTGAATAATAATTTTCCATATTATTGCTATTATTATTAACGAAACTTTGTCTATTGTTTCCTGAAATAGAGTTTTTAAATATTAAAATATGAAAACAAAAAATGTATACATGTATTTATTTATACTCACGTTTATTAATACTAAAATTATTCGATGTATCATGATGATCTGTCCCAATTGATTGATCTTTGCTTTGTAATATTGATATAGATGTCGGATTATTATATTCTAGTATAGAAGCAGTATCGCTAGAAATAAATATTGTTGGTGATGTATTTTGACGTTTTTGTGATGAACTTGATGATGATGATGATGATGATGATGATGATGATGATGATGGTGATGATGATAGATCCGGTAATGTGTTGTTTCTTTGAGGTGATGAAAATGAATTGTCGACAGAATTTTTTAACGATATCTTAATACTATTGTCATCATTATTGTTTTCATTATTAAATTTAATTTCATTAGAGTTTGCCTCTGATGATAAACTAGATGATCTTTTTGGTGGGTTGGCTATTATGATTGGGTTTTGATGATTTTGAATTGCATCAGAAGGAAGAAGAAAATTGCTTTGTCTTTTAGGTGAATCTGGTAAATGGCTAATAGCGTTATTATTGTTGTTATTATTATCTGAAAGTGGTGCGTTAAGATTTTTATTTCGCTCCAATTTTAATGATTTAAGATCCTTCAGAGGACCATTAAATTTGATTGCACTGCCTTTAAATTTCCCAATAACACCTTCACAATATCCCTGAATTTGTCAATTAATATTAATAAAAAATTATTTATTTAACTGAACAATTAAATAAATAATATTTCAAAAATCCCACAAAAAACTTACAAGAAAATATTCATCTTTGATATGTTTTAAAATTGTAACCGTATCTCCTAATTATATTATGAAAAGTTTATTCAACAAAATGTTGATTTTATTTATCATTTTATTTTTACTATTATTCAATTACCAGTGAAAAACATCAAATCATCCTCGGTATCTGCCAACGTATCATGAATGGCAATGCCTTTACCAATTCCGCCTTTAATTAAAAAATTCTTAGTTATTAAATGTTTTAATCAATTAATTGTATTAAAATTATTAAATACCTCTTATTGCAAATTCATGTAGTTTTCTCAATTTTTTGGGATCTTGTGTTATTAGACGTTTTTTACTCATTTTTGTATTTAATAAAAAGTATTAGTTTTAAAAGTTTATATGTATAATTAATAGAAAGAAAAATTGTCAACAGATGATTTAAATTTTAATAATTTAAAGAAAGTGTATAATTAATGAATTCCATCCGAGTTAAATTTATTTAAAAATATTGCTAAAATGTCTTCTAGGCAAAAAATCGCTTTCAATATCTCAAAATTAATTCAGATACTAGGAGAAAAAGAATGTAAAAAAATATTTAGAACTTACTATTTATATGTTGGTTGAAAAAAATAAAATTTTGAAAGTGGTTAGCATTAAAAAACTATACTGTACTACTGGAATGACAACATTCTTAAATCTTCAATCTTTCAATACATAAACAATAATAATACACAATACATAATAATAATAAATGTGACATTCTTTATTTGGTTTGATTTGCAAATATCGTGTCATAAAAACCAATCTTTAGTTATTTATAAAAATGGATGCATTATATTTTGATGTCGACGATAGGTTATACAGAAGGTATTGTAAGAGAGAGGTGTTAGAATGCCTAATTGTCACTCACCATCTAAAGTTTCACACTGAGTCAAGTGCAGAATTGAGAACGCCACTTTTATGGCACATGAACGTTATAAATTTTTTTTATTAGGTATGCTTATACGTGATACTTCTTATAACAGGTACTTTGCATGAAAGAGACACTAATGAGTTATTAGAGATGTCACCCACTTGGTATATTTGATTCGGTGCCTGCATTATGTGTTGTGTTGATTGAAACACCACTCGGCATTAAATATATTTTATTTTGACATATATTATTATAATATTAAAATTTAATATTATTTTTAATAGCACCTTATTTTGGGAATTGTATTTCGGCTGATGACCTTGATGAATAAAATATTGAAATTATTCGTAATGTACTTTACAAGGCATATCTTGAAGATTTTATAAATTGCAAGGGAGGGCTTGGTAGTATTACTGGATAAATAATGAGTGAAATTTTAGAGGCAAGATGATAACAACAATAATATTTTTACTTTTATTTTAATTTACAATGAACACTTTATAGTTTGAACCAGATAGACGTGCAATTAATATTACCATAAATTCTTCTAGAACAGAATTGTCAAAAAATGATCGAGTTAAATTATTCCCAAATTTTGAAAAATTACATCCTGTTGGTCACGAGACTTGGAAAAGCTGATGATCTTGAACAAGTTAGAAGTGCTGTAGAAGCTTGAACTGTATATTCAGAAATTATTGAATTTAAATAATTGGTTAATTAGTTGATAAAAAATCAATCATCGATGTATTGATTATCAAATAAAATAATGTAGGAATATCGCACATTTTTTGATATGACTTTAACTTCGTTTGTGAAGTCACAAGTGAAGCCAAGACCTTGGAAGGTCTATTTTTTGAATACGATGTCCATCTTAACAAACTTACATTTCAACAGCAATTTCATTATGCTGTTTTTTATGCGTTTTTAAAATTAAAAGATGGATTACCGAATGTATTAGTCAAGGGCAAAAGGAAAGAATTAATAATTTTTTAATATTTATTTTATTTATATATTTTGCGCTTTATTCAAGCATTTATTTAATCAATCATATGATTTTATTGTAAATATTATTGAATTGACAATTATTTATCATTCTTATTAATATTCATTAATTAATTTCTGTCATATAATTTGAAAAAAGCGTTTGAAATGTACCAGTGATAATAAGCTTTAAGATAAACTTTGTAATAAACTTTTTTAGAAAAATAAATTTTACTATAAATTCTCTTTAACAAGTTATGTAAAAAAAATTAAAAATGGAAACGCCACCAAATAATAATAAAATTTCATTGAATTCAAATCATGACTACTTTACACCGTGTAATAATTCATTATTGCATAATAACATTGAAAAAGAATTTGACAAAGAAATTAACAAGTTTCGATCTGACGAAGAATCTTTTAATAACCGAACTATCAAAAATCTAAATGATAGTAGTAATGATGATAATGATAATAATACAGATTATCTTAATGATTACTCTTCACTAGATTATAATATGAATATTGATGAAAATTTTAACTTGTCAAATCAATCAAATTATTATCAAGAACAATTAGAAACACCATCACAAATGCCGGAATCAACATCAATGACCCCAAAACAAACAGGCTTACCAATTTTACCATTTGTTGCTACCGATTCTCATGCATCAACTCCACCTTGGGTTTTAGATACTTTTTCTATGAGTTTAAATAACGACAACGACAACAATGACGAAGTTGATGAAAATGTTATTTTTCAATTGAGAAGTAAAAGCGAGAGTTCACGAACAACTAATACGAATACTAATAACATCAATGCTGGGACTCTTACCATCAACACTAGTACAAATGACGTAGAGACTGATATCGAGGACGGAGAAACTGAAAAGGTATCTATTTTACCCGTTAAAAATTTCAACAAAAATTCGTAAACACAATAATGACAATGACAATTTTAAACTAGATTATGATGGCAATAAGTTATAGGTATCATAAGCTTGGTTGTGCTTATTACAATGATGCTGCATCGAAATTATATTTAATGGAAGATATGGATGAATCTCCACCATATGATTTAGTGAATTTATGTAAGTATCATTGCCAAACATATAATAATTTGTTAATAATTAATCAACTTTCCTCCTTTTCCTCCGCTATTGATAATAAGTACGATATCAAATTTTACCATCAGCAATTATTGTCAGCTCTCGTGCAGATGAAGTACTTGTTGATTTATTAAAATCTAAAGGTAATTCTTGCTTGCATACTTTTCTTTCTCTCTCTCCTACACTTATAATATTTTTTTATAAATTCATAAAGATGATTCAATTCCAATCGAGCCAATCGTTGAAATTCGTCCAAGTTCCGAATTCATATATTCATCCGCTAGAACCAAATTGTATAATAGTTGTTTAAATACTAAAACATTTGAGAATAATATATATGGTGAATCATATAAACATGAAACGTATCTTAAATTATCTAGTATTATTGATATGGAAAGCGTCGAATCAGTATGTTAATTATTATTATTTATGATTCATTGTCATCGTATATTAATTTAATTTAATACTTCAAAGGTTTGTTGTGCTGGTGCATTGATTACTTATATTTCAAAATCTAAAATTACTGATGTTGCAACGACTAATATTTCTATCAAGGTACTAGACATCGAGCAATTCTCCTTGTAGGTTCAATCAACATTTTCTTCATTAAAGTCATCTATTTTCTCCTTTTCTTCTTCTTAATAATGGTATTTTTGTTTAATAAATAAATAGAAAACGATTTTTACATATTAATTCGGATGCCTTATGGTGCTTAATATATGATTTTATTATGTTCTCTTATTCTTCTATTAATTTTTTCGATTTAATGAATTTAATAATCCTTGAAAGTTCTCTTCAGATTTTCGAAGATGAAGCACATCCAAATATGCATATGCGATCACATACAAAGGAAGGGTTATCGTTATTTGGTAAAATACCACCATTCCTATTTTTTATTGTTATTTTTTTTATATCTCTCATAAAAAGTTTTTGATTTTAATAAATAACAGGAATAATGAATTGTACTCGTACTACGCTTGGTAAACGTCTTTTAAAACAATGGTTTCTTCGTCCTACACTCGATATATCAATTATCCACGAGAGACAACATACAATTGAATGTTTTATAAAACCAGATAATTTGAAAGCTTCGTCTTTGTTGACAAAGTGTCTCAAACATATTAAAAACATTGAAAGAATAGTTCAAAATATTAAAGGAAAATTAAGTGTTAAAGATTGGCAATCTTTATTACAGGTTTTTACTAATTGTTTTTTCAATTTTTAGAGAACATGTGCTTGTGCTTAAAGAGATATATAAACGTGTAATATATATATGTATATTCTTATAGTTTGCTTTTTATTGTTTGAAAATCCGTAACTTAATAAAAGAATTTCATTACGAAGAACCATTACAAATTTTTAAAAGGGTCAGTATTGTATTATCATTATCCGTGATTGGTTATAGTAACTCTGTCATAGAAGAATTAAATCATTCTTTATCTTTTATAAAATAAAATAGATTGAAGAAACATTCTCCATAACAAATTTCAAAACTTTCGGATCTCTTATCAATGATATGGTTAGATATTGGCGTTGGCAACGATTCGTTTATATATATCATATCGTTATTTATTTATTTCACTTTTATTATTAAAGATTGATTTTGATGGAAGTGTCAAAGAAAATCGAATTGTGATAAAGCCTTACATTGACGAGGTAAAATTCTTTTATTTTTACGTATTTACTATTCAATTCATTTAATTTTTTTTACTCCTTTCTGAAAAAAATAAAAAATTGAAAGGATTTGGATGAAATGAAACGAGTTTATGATGGACTAGACGATTTCTTGGTATTAAAATTTTCTTAAAAATTAGTACACGTTTAAAAAAAAGCATTAATAAATAAATAAATAAATAAATTAGTCTGAAGTCGCTAATGAAATAAGCACAACAATTCCCAACGAAATTACTACTTCATTGAATGTGATCTATTATCCTCAACTTGGATATTTGATTGCTGTCCCGTTAAAACTAGAATGGAAAGATGAAAAGGATTTTGAATTTGATGGATTATATTTTCAAGTAGTTAATTCAATATATTTGAAATAATTTTAAAATCTTATACTGAATATTATTGTATTGTGGTTTTAGTTTAATACTTCTACAACTGTATATTACAAAAACGACAGAATGAAAGGTAAAAAAAAAACAACGATATTTCTTATTCTAATTGAATTGGAATAATTATCATAAAGAAGTAATACTATATATATTATTTATTTATTTAGAGCTTGATGAATATTTAGGTGATATTCATGGGTTAATAGTTGGTAAGAGTGATAGAACGACAAATTCAAAATTTTACTTACCAATAAAAAAGAAAATTGATGTTTGGTTGTTATATTTGAAAAAAAAAACCAAGATAAAGAAATAGAAATTATTCAGAAGCTTCAAGATCGTATTTTACAATATGTTAATTTGTTGTTAAATGCAAGTGTTTTATGTTCAGAACTTGATTGGTTGGTTTATTATATTTATATTTATTTTGATTTTTTAAAAAGATGCCAAATAAATAATACTAATTGATTAATCGATTCAGTCTTCTTTGTTTAGCAGAGTCAGCAAGACGTTACAGGTACACACTTCCAATTGTAACAGAAGAGAATATAATAAAGGTTGAAAAGGGAAGGTAATTAATTAATTAATCAATCAATTATAAAAAAAAATACCCATTAATTTGTCTTTTTTTTAATAAATATATTGGGAAGGCATCCTTTACAAGAACTTTGTGTTGAAGTTTTCGTAGCAAACGATACATTTATTGAGGGCGGTCACGGGACTTTAATTGATGACGACTATCAAGATACAACGATGACGAATATGAATACGAATGGTCTATATGAATCTTCTAAACCTAATAATAATAGTGTTATATTACTTAGCGGTGCAAATTTTTCTGGTAAAAGTGTTTATTTAAAACAAGTTGCTTTAATCACTTATATGGCTCATATTGGAAGGTAATTTAAATATTTACGTGTATATAAATTCTAAAACTAAAAATTAATAACAAATTGCTTTATAAGCTTCGTGCCGGCAGAATCTGCTATAATTGGATTAACGGATAAAATTTTTACTAGAATACAAACTCGAGAAACAATATCAAAGGTAAATTAAATAGAATAGAATTTTTTTAATACCTAACCTAAAAAAATTTTTTTTTAAAGATTCAAAGCGCTTTTATGATTGATCTTCAACAAATTTCATTTGCTCTTCGAAATTCAACTTCAAAATCATTATTAATAATCGACGAATTTGGAAAAGGAACTGGTTCCACTGGTATAAATTTGTGTAAAAAAGAATATATTAATTTTACAAAGTTGTATATAAATACAAGTATAATAAATAAAAATAGATGGAGCTGGATTATTTTGTGGTGTAATTGAACATTTATTGAAACGTGGTCATAATTGCCCAAAAGTTATTGCTGCAACACATTTCCATGGTATTTAAAATTATTATAATTACTTGTTCTTTTAAAAAAATTCCTTCCTCGTAATCATAATGCTTTGTTGTTAAATTTTTTTTAAATAAAAGAAATCTTTGAAAATGATCTTCTATCAGCATCTCTTCCAATTACATTAGCAACAATGGAAATTTTTAAAGATGATCGTGACGAAGAATTAACTTTCTTGTATCGGTAAAATAAAATTCATTTTTTTTTAATACTACTATGATTAATGAGCTAAAAATACATTTATTGATAATCGCTATGGATATTTTAATTAGTCTTGTTCAAGGTCGTAGCACTTCGTCTTGGGGTACATTTTGTGCCGCTATTTCAGGAGTTCCACTTCATGTAGTTGAACGAGGTAAACAATTATAATGATAATGATAGTAATAAACATAATTATCTAAATAATAAATATAGTGTAAGTATGTTTATTTACAACAACCTATAGCAAAGTATCTTTCGCAATTATTTTCACGTTACGAATCAATTCCACCACCTTTTGGTGATCATATAGAACAACGTTCCTATACCAAATATGAACAAGTTGCTAGAAAATTCTTGCAGTTGGATCTAAAACATCCAGAAGTCGATTTTAATGATTTTTTAGATTGGATCAGCAGAGAATGTGTTTAAACAATAATAACTGGATTAAGGCTGGTCGTTGGGCAAATATATTGATTGTGCAATACGTATTGAATGTACCATAACAGTGAAAAATTTCATCATTCATATTAGTTGAGTAATGTCTAAAAAAAATTAAAGAATGTAATATTGATATAGCAAGCAAGAAAAAAAATAAACTGTTTTTTACAAATACTATGAAAAACCAAAGTTCAATTTGTGTTTGAACTAATATTTTCTTAGGGATTACTTATTGAGTGTTTATCCAATTTGATCAAAAAAATTTTTTGTAATTATCATTTATATACTGCATAAATAATTTATAAAAATAAACCATACCTTTGGAAAAGATTTTTTCTTATTCTTCTTGTATTAATTATTAAATTCATGTTGGTCTCAGCAGAGAAAATAAAATACAAGTTGAAATACCAGCAAGGAAAAAACGAAAGAAAAATAAATTCATTCAAAAAAAAACCGAAACAGAAAATTCCTTCCCAAAAATCAAGTTTAATAAAAGATTGATTTTTTCGACATCTCCTCGACTCCAACATGCCATGTGACTTTTCTCTTCCCTTCTCGGCATGATCACATCATGGTCGATAGAAAAAACTTTAAAAAATCCTGAATGTTGCACCGAATTGATTTTGTCGTTAAATTAATTAAATTTGGAATTTGTCATTTATCATTATTATTATTATTTTTCAAATTAACATGGAAGACACACCCCTTAATGCGGTATACAACTTTAAATTTCACAGTCTTTTATGCTTTTTGTAAATTAACTCATTCCATTAACATGCAACTTTATTAAGGCACATAGCTTTGCAAATGCCGCAGAAGAATTTGAAGATAAAGAACAGTATGCGAAAGCTATGGAGGCACATTTCCGTGCAGCTGGTAAATATTTTTTAACCTTGAAATTTCCTTTACCAAAAAAAACTTTATTAAATAAAAATATTAATGTTTTATATAGAACAATTTTTAAATGCAACAAATCTAACATCTGATCCAGAGGTATTGTATAAATGATTTAAAGAAAAAATATTATTTTATTTATTTACAAATGTTTTAATGATAGGCAGTTCGAACATTGAAAAAACTATACTCCAATCATAACCGACAAGCAAAAGACTTACAACGTCGAATAGATAAACAAACACAACAACAACAACAACAGCAACAACAACAACAGCAGCAGCAGCAGAAGAAACAACAACAACAACAGCAGCAGCAGCAGCAGCAGCAGCAGCAACAACAACAACAACAACAACAACAACAACAACAACAACAGTCATCAAAACAAAAAGAAGGCTCAACCAATTCATCATCAAATCATAATAAAAAACAAATAAAACAAAATGTTTTATTGTCTAAGGAATCAGCAGAAGTATTTAATTCTCAAGGGAATAATAATAAAAATACATTTAAAATTGTTAATAATGTAGCAATTGCTACTACTATTCCTAGTAGTAATAACAGTCGTAATACCGGTGCCACGATCATTAAAGGAAGGATTGGATCACAAACCAATAATGATACATTAGAAGTTCCAAACGGCATGGGAAGAAGTGGTAGATATTAATATAAATAAATAGAATGATTGATTGATAATATTTTAATATTGATAATTAATATTGATAATGATGATGATGATAATAATGAACAAAGCACTTATTATGATGATCTTTATATCTAATGCGTAAAATGAGATTAGCTATCGATTCTTCTTTAAACATTGCCGAAAGTACAATGACAACAACATCATCAGGATCCGAAAAAACCATCGAAGAGTCTTATATGGTACTTAAAGGCAATAACGATTCAACCGATGTAAGTTATATTATTATTATCTATGATTATTATTATAATCCATTTATGTTGTTGGCATATACATATATACAAATTCACAAAATGGATAAAAATTTTTTTTTCCTTGATAAATTAGGACGATGATTCAGATCCATTCAACAAATTTTGGGGTATTGTTGAATCTTTGGTTCAAAAAATATCTAATCCGGTCGCATTTGCCACCGTACCACTCAATGGTACAGATTCTGCCACACAATTTGATTCTAATGTTATGCCGTCTACATTACCATTTCGTTATAATATTAATAATAATAACAATAATATTGATAGTTTAGAAATCAATAATAATGGTAACCTTTATAAGAATTATATATTATTATAATATTATTTGTCTAATAATAATTTTTTATATGTGTAGATAACGAATCAAAAGCAGAGGAATTGAGTGCGGCAATGATGGAGTCTTTTTTTGTTATACCTAAAGATCAAAGATCAGGACCTGGTTTACATTCACATCTCAAATCTCGAACACAATTATCATCTGCAAGGTTGAAAATAATTTTATTTACTTATCAATATATTTGAGTAAGGATTATACTGATTTGATACAAACACATATACATAATATATATATATAGCAAAGCATCATTCAAAACTATAGAAGAATACGCTATAGAAAATCAGCAACTTAAAAATGCAATTGATGCCATGTCAAAAAGAATGCAAGCATATGAAAAGGTATTATATTATTTATATATGTGTGTATGCTTATATAATCAGTATATTGAATCTATATATGCGTAGGCCGCAGAAGAGGGCAATATGTTAAAGAGTAGTATTTTACAATTTAAAAATGATTTTCAAAAACAGGTTAGTAGTATCAATAAAACTTATTACTTTTTTTTGGATGATTATATTACTAGAAATGCCAACGTTAATAAATATTGATATTGATAAACAGGCAAAGTTAATTAAATTAAGTCAAGAAATTTCAAAATCATCACCTATGATTAAACAAGGGTCACCAGAAAATTCAACCAGTCAGTAGATTTATTTTTTATTTTTTAATTTACAATATTATTAATGCCATCGTTGATTATTTAATAATTGATTGATTAATAATTCTAACTTTACTATAAAAAGTTGGAAGTATTAGTTATCTTCAAAAACGTATAAAAGAATTAGAGGCAGAAAATGAAAAAGAGGTAAATAAATTAAATTAAATATTTATAATTTTAAGTACTTATTTATCAATTGATTAATTAATCAGAAAATGCGAAGCGAAAAATATAAAGATCGTTGGGAGAAATTGAAGGAGTCAGCTATAAAACGAAAAAATAAACAATTAGAAACTTCTGCTATAAATTCAAATTTAAACTAAATATTAAAATACATTAAAATATAGATTATATATATATATATATATATATATATATATATATAGTTGTTAAAAAAACATTATTTTGACAAAAAATAATCATAATTATATAAATATCTTTTATTATTATAAACATTGTCTATAATATGAATAAAAGTGAAAAATATTATTATAATAATTATATACAATTATTGCTACACAGCCAATATATTACTATTACTTATTATTTGTAAAATTAAATTAACAATAAAATTCTATTATGAGATGTGATTCTAATTTGATTGATTTCTTCAAAGAGAAAAAAAATTAAAAAAAAATTCTAGAATTACAAAAAATTACAATTAATAAATTTCTAACTCAAGCTAAATGATGTGAATAATAATATTTTGTTAGTTAAGGATTAATAAATTAAGATCGTATCAATAAAAAAATCATTGCAATATATATTAATATGCACTCAAAAGGATACAAATAAAAATGAAGATTTTAATGGATTCCTAAAGTTGAGTCCTTTGCGATTATATAATGTGTGATTTTCATCGTCCAAAAATTTCAATATTTCATCTATTCTCTATTGGAGTAAATATGTTATTAGAAAAGATTCAACAGTGAATACCACTAAACATCATAAAAATGAATGAATAAATCTACCTTATCATAATTTGATTTTATACAAAATGTTGATGTATAAATTGTTAAACATGTCAAAAAATTATCAAGTATATTATATTTGGGGTGGTGGGCTTTTTCTAAAAGCTCATTAAGTTTATCAATTGTTTTTTGAAATCTTCGTGGCTCTATCTAGTAAACAGTTGGAGAAAATAATGATCATTTTGTTAATGTAAATTCGTCACTGATAGGAAATTATTCGGGTTGGGGGTTTTTTCGTTGAAAAGTTTAATATAAATACCCTTCCATCAATTTCCAACGGGAAAGCTGTTTGAAATTGACATAATTCTCCTCTTGTAAAGTCCCTTTCTATCCTAACGAGTGTTAGCATGATGTGTAACCAACTGGAAGTCTCACTAAAATTTTCTTCTTTTAACAATGGAGCCAATTTATTATTAGTAATGAATGAAAAAATCTCGTGCCAAAAAAGGAAATTTGTTTCCTTTATAGGTAAGATAATCATATTTCCAAATCTTTATATAAAACCGACGGTTTTTAATTTTATCACACACATTAATATTAATATTAAAGAAGATTTGGGAAATGTGTAAATTACCCCGCTCATTTTTCTTTTTATACATCCAATCTATTTTTTTGTCAAAAATTTCTTTTTAATATTAATAAAAAATAACAATGATAATAATCGAAAAATAATTAATTGGCAATTTTTATGTATGTAATATTACTTGTTCTTTTTTTTCTCCCAAGACAAAAAAAGTTTTAAATTATTTTGGTTTCCTTTATTTGTTATTATTGGTGAGGGATTATTTTATAGGAGAATGATAAACCATGTGAATGGGTTTGGTGTAACTATTTTGTTTTTCATTGCATTCATCACAAATATAGTATTTTGTTTTTATTATTTATTTAATTAATCGAAAAAAAACCGGTAAATTATCAACGATTTCATTAATTAATCTAAAATTTTATTACCTTTTTTTGCTATAGTAATAATATATAAAAATAATTTATATATTTAAAGATTAAGATTTTTCTTATATATATATATATATATAACTAATTTCTATATTTTACTAACTTATTTATTTATTTATGTTACATTTTTTATTTTTATTTTTATTTTTGCATTTTTTGTATTTTACTTATTTTACTATAGGGGGCAATACTACAAAATATTGCAACAGGACCGAAAAAAATTTCAGGGCTCGAATTTTAATAGCTAGTTACACAAAGTACGCTAACAAATTGAAGAATATCAACTAAAATACCATTCAAAGCCAATTTCCTTAGATCGTTTTACATTTTTTTGGTGATACCAAACTTTCCCTCATTCTGCTGGTATGATAGTTTCTATGATCAACTATCCTCCAAAAGATGTATGCGTATGTGCTCTAGTGATTATTTTTCCTTTTTTGTTTTATTTCACTTGTCCATTTCAAAAAAACACCACATATTTCATTCATTCATATTTATTTCACCTAAATCTTTACAAGAAAGTTTACCTTCACAAGGCTTTTTCGAAAGGTTTCATTTTTTATTGGTAAGCGTTTATCGTATTTACACGAAACTAAAGTTACATTCATTCATACCTGATTTTATACGGAAAAAAGAACACGAAAAATGGTTTTCTGTTCTTTCATTAAAAGTAAATGCAGTTATTTGAAAGTGCGGAAAAATTATGTTGGATGATGTATTTCATTAAAGTTTAACCCCTGGAATCTTTAATGTCCATTTGCCTTTGATTTGTTGCAGTGCCCCATTTAATATTTATCACTATTTAAAAAAAAAATTTTCCCCTTAATTTGTTTAAAAGCTTCATTTTCTGTAAATTTTCTTCGAAAAAAAAAATTTTTTTATTCTTGATTGTTATTATTACTTTATTAATAATTATCGTTAATAACATTAATCTTTGATTGTTATATATATACATAATATAAAATATATAAATTTTTCAAAAAAATAGAATTTTAGAATTTGTTACGAGTCAATGAAATGAAGACGATATATAATTTTAATAGTTTCTTAATATCTACACTACCTATTCACACCACTATTTCCTCAAAAACAGCTACAAAAACTAAAAAGTTTGATTGTTCACAACAAACACGCCATTTATCAATAAATTTATTTTATTTATTATTAGCAAACATCATAATTCAAATATTATGTTTACCAGGTGTTGATTCGGAATTTGTAAAAAGGGAAGGTCGTAAGTATAATAAATTCACAATTATTAATTACATTCTAATTTAATCTATAATAATGATGATGATGATGATGACTTTTTTTTTAAATGAAAAATTTACATTTTTTCCATTTTTTTTAAAATATATTAGCATATACATGTCCATATTCAGGAAATGATGTATTATATTGTAAACCTGAACAGAATGAATTTTTTAAAGTGAATGATAGTGTAATAGTTGCATGGAATAAGAATTTTGTAATATATGCAGGTTCAAAAACTTTAAATGTAAACCTTTTTAGAAGAGATACTTCCAACAGCGCCATGTCTGTTACAGTTCCTGGATTTCCAGTTTCAGTAAAAACTGATGAAGGAAGTATAAGTTTTAAAGCTTCATTAGATTGGTTTCCTAATGACGTCACCAACGGATATCAATCAACAACAACAGCAGCAGCAACAACAAACCCACAACAATCACAAGAAGTACTTCAAAATTATACTTTTTATTTTAGGATTTTACCTGAAATTCCTCCTCCAACATTCCTTATATCATCTAGTTATGATTTTACAGTTCAATATTATAAACCCTCCAACATTATAAATATATCATCAGCAACAGTAATTACAACAACAGCTATTGTCACGGAAACAAATAGTATAATAGGGAGTGATGACCATGAACATAAAATGTATTCGCCCGTAATAATCTCTGTTATTGTCGTTTCAATTGTTGCCGCTTTACTTGCATTCATTGTAATAGTGCTTTTTACAATTATCAGAAAACGTAATAATAAAACAGGAAAAGAACAAAACTTTTCAACTTTATCAACATCTTCAAATACGCTAATGGTAGAATCAACTCTTAGTGGAAATAGCGATGTTAGTGATGGTTACCATAAAGGTCCTGATTATCCTATAGAAGAATCTTCAATTCATTCAACTACACCTTTAGCAATAAACAACAATAACATTAATAAGACTAATAGTATTAATACAAAGGTTTCATTCAATGATGACATTAATAATAATAATAATAGTAATAATAATAATAATAATAATAATAATAATAATAATAATAATAATAATAATAATAATAATAATAATAATAATAATAGTAATAATAATAATACCGATAAATCTTATAATGGATCTAATAATAATCCGATAAGTGTATCAGATGCAGCATTAATTTCTGACGCATTTCGTAAGGTATTACGTAAACCTAACTGGAAACATGGTGATGATGATACTGACGAGGAAGATTTTGACGCGAATTTATCGGAAGAAGATCTTGCTCGTAGAAGAGAAGCTAAAGAATTGATGAAAAAAGAATTGGCTGAAGAAGGAACCGGGATACACAGTGTTTCAAGAAGACAGACAACAATTGAACATAGCAGCATTCGTGAATGGAAAGATGATAGCGATAATATTGATAATATTGAGGGGAGAAAGAGTAGTAGTAGCGATGTAGGTGGTATGATTAGTGGTGATAGTAGAATAATAAATATAAATCCTGATAATAATAAATTATAAAAATAAACAAAAAATTTTTTTTTATCTGTACTATATTATTATTTATTATATGTTGAATCACTAATATTTTTAGAATACTTATTTATTGTATATAATAATATATATAAAATTTTTTTTTACTCTATTGCTTTCAGTTTACTTGAAATTTAATAATTAATTGCTAGTTTCTCGCCTACCTCGCCAATAACAATTCGCATGTTTGCCATTTCATTATTAGCTTGTATTTGTGAAAATATTTGTAAAAATGTATCAATATCCTTTTTTACCAGGTGTTCATGGTGTTACATTAGAAAATGCGCACATTTTGTTAACCACCAAAAAAAATTTTTTTTTGACATGGATTTTGTTCTCAATTTGTTTTTTATCAGATTTGCTTGCGAAATATTCTCCCAACACGTGCATTGGGAAAAGTGCTATTTTAACAATAATTGTTAAATTTGGATAATCAAAATGAAAATTTTCGTTTATATCCAAAATGCGTTCTCACAATCGAATAAAATAACATTTGTGTATTTTATAGTGATGCAGATAGAATTTTAAAGAGTTCCACCCTTCATCACTCACCAATTTAGTATCTCCATAAAATTTATCTAAAAATTCCATCTCGTACAGATTTAAAAATTATTCCATGTCTGTTTATTTTTAGTTGTCAATAAAAATAATAAAAATAGAATTATTTTTGATAATAATAAATCAAATGTAATTTTTCCCTTTTTTTTTTCCTATTTTCCTTGAAATGTATTTCACGTTAGTATTTTCTAAATTTGTACTAGTTATACGATCACTGATCGGCGGTCGTATACTTAAAATTTGATACAATTGTTGTTGCACGATGATGAAATTTTAACACTAAACAATAAATAAATGAAAATATTTAATATTTTAATTATTCTTTTCGTGGCCTTCTTTAGCAAACAAAACTATAAATAAAATAACAGGCTATACTTTCTCACGTTCCTTATTTAAAAATAAATTACGATGTTAATAATTAATCATCTTTCACGTAAAATTACAGGAAGCAACCACATGTTTGTTTAAAGTATTTCACGAAGAATATGTAGATAGTTACCTTGTTATTGACTTCTACTATGGTGCAGGTCATTTAAAGACATCAGAAAAATTGTACAACTTCAAACTACTATGGCTTTTATTATTATTAATAAATTGAAAAAAGCTCTATTTTTTTCAATCTTTCAAATTTTATTAATTAAAAAAAAAAGCCTTGGCGGTTTGAAGTTGCACGATTTTACAATATATCAAAAAATGAAATTTGGTATACAGTCAACCCCCCTATATGCACCCCCCATAAATGCACACCCTCTCTAAATGCACGCTCACACTCATTCCCGAGCTTGGGATTTAAGAGATAAGTGCACCCCTCTATACATGCATTGCACGGTCTTTTTTCATTCCCAACTATATAAAACCACCCTCCCTAAATGCACTCCCGTGACTTCACGTGATATTTGCAATG